TATTTGGCACTTATGTTAACGAAAACCCTTTTCTACAATTAAGGATTGAACTTTTTTGCTGCATTATTGGAGATTTCTATGTTTTTACTTTTAGTACATGTCTGTATAGAGTTACTCTGAAAGAAACCGTATACTTTTAAAACATAATGGGAAATGTGTCATCCTCGGATTGCACGTGGTGCACTGATATTTTCTCACAATGGAAATCAACTTCATTACTTTCCTATTAGATAGGGCTGCTCATAAACTATGCTTTTTACTATGTCACTGATATTGTGTTAGATCTGCTGAGATGTGCAGATTTGAAAGCTTTTTAATCCTCCATGTCTAGCTCATATAATTTTTCTTTTTTGCAGGTCACCTGTTCAAGCTGTTAAGGATGTTGAAATAAAAGGGTCACATGATCTGAATCCAGGCGTAGGCTCTTTTATTTGGACTATTGTGTTACTCGTATCTTTGTGCTGAGATTATTTTCATAGTTGAATGGGATACATTGCTAAAACAAGTATAATTCATATATATTGAATGATCATCATGCAAGTGGGATTTTTCCCCTTAATATATTCACTCAGTTACTGTAAATATCACAATCATGACTTTCTCCTTCCCCATTACTTGAGAACTCCATTTCAGCTTTCCAAATTTATGAGAATGGGTTCTAATCTTTTAATTCTGTTGATTACTTACTAGGCAGACCTGATTTCATTTTCTACTGAATTTTTATTTCAGCTTTCTGTTTGTTTGGCAATTGCTATTAGTGAATGGTGTTATTCTGTTGCAGATTATTTGCTTATTTGACTGGTAAGTTCATTCCTGATTTTGTGGAATTTTTGTATGCTGCAGAGTGAACCAGTGGACACATTTAATGGCTTAGGTGCTGATTTGTGTCTCATGCCTGATTCAACCTTTACTGATTTCAATCTGGAATTTGAAGAAAATGACTTCCTGGATAATGGAATTGACCAAGTGGCAGGTTTAAGGTATAATAATACCTTATTGTGACACCTATCATTACAAAATTGCTCTATATCCTCACATGCTTACAGATATTTTTGTTATTTTGTTTTTGATTTTGATGATTTTAGGTAATCGTGAAAATTTTCATTAGCAGACTTCAATTTCATGTATTTAAGAAATTTTACTGTTATTGTTTATGGCTGAAGCATGTTTCTTTTTCAATTTGCTAGCTGCTGTACTTCTCCAGTGTTGTTGTTTTTCAGAGTTTTGAAAAATCCAAAGATCTCAGAGATGAGGGATTTTCCTTTGATTTTGTTTTCCTTTTTCCCCTGCTGGTTGAATTTATTATCATCTGTTTGTTATCAGCAGGGCAGAATGTCAAAAGCAGGGTCCTAGTAATCTCAGTCATGAAACACCAAGAGGTTAGTCCTGTTTGGCCATTTTTCTAATTTTTTCCCCGTAGACGTAATTCATAAAGGTGCTCTGTCAGTCTCAGGTTGTAATCAATCTGGAAATGAGAGGATTGCTGTAGTCAGAGTCGACCAACAAATAAAGCCAATTAAGTATGCCGCTGCCTTTGCGATTCTTCTTAAAGTATTTGGTCTTGCTCATCTAACATAATTTTATGGTTCTTAGTAGCCCACATTCCTCCAGCCTCCAGGCCATACAATGTTCGAAAATGCCAGTAGAAATGAAGTGTCCTCTTTGCAACTCTTTCTTCAAGGAGGCCGTCATGATTCCTTGTTGCCAGCATAGCTTTTGCCAAAATTGTGGGTCCATGCACTTATATGATCTTTATTTACGATCAATGTTGCCAGACTCTAGAGCCCTAAGATATTAATTTGAATTACTGATTAAATTGTTTGATGTAACTGCAGGTATCCGCCAAGTGCTTATTGAGAAGGGGAAGTGCGCAAAGTGCTTTTCAAGCAAATGCCGCGTGGAAGACCTGCTACCAAACTTGTCATTGCGTCAAGCTATCGAGCATTTCCTTGAAGCTGAGATGCTCGATGCTGGTTCAGAGCATGCCTTGCAGAATTATGTGCCAGGTGCATATGATAAATTCTGTCACAATCTTTGAGGGATTTCTTGTAGAATGGCTAATAATTTTTTTTTTCCTTTTTTTTTTCTGTGGTCTGGTGTGTTTTCTGTATAATCCAGATGGAGAGTCTGGAATTCAGGCTAGGGACTTTTCGTGTGCGCCTTCAGTTGTCCAAACTGCAACTGGGAAAGGATCTAACCAAGTTTATAAGGAACTATTTTTTGAGCAACAATGTCAAAGAAATGTGCGAGTTCGTGCCCCTGGAAGTAGGGAAGTAAAATCCGCTCTTCCATCACAGAAAGCCAATCAAATAGATGATATGAGTGGCTACTATTGTCATGATGGTATGCGAAGTGGGCCTGAAGATTTTGTGCCATCAGCCGACTTTCAAGGTGAAAATCAACCTGTTATTCCTCCAACTAATGTTCATTATGAAGGTACTTCTTTCTGCTTAGTGGTGTAATTTTTTATTTTTTTTATTTTATAGAATATTGTGAATGAGTAAAAAAGCATTTTACAGTTGCCACCTTGTTAACTGCTTCCATCATTATAATTGTTAATGGCCAGTTGTAGGTATTATTAAGTAGTGAAGTCATCAGTGTCACCTTGTTAATTATTCAATTTTCATAAGTTACAGTTCCCAAGATATCCCTGTGAACACGTTCTATCTCTCTTTATTGTGGTTCTTTGACATCTTCGTTTCTCTTGGGAATTTGGTGCAGCTGATTATAACACCAGGAGACGAGGGGGACACTGGATCGAATCTGGAGGTGAACTTAAATACAATAATGGCTACAGCTGATTTTGGTTTTCGTTTATTGTTTTCTCACTGCGTAATGCTTTTCAGGTGAAGAGAGAAATTTTATGGGTCCCTCTGGACATAAAAAGGTAACTTCAGTTACTACATATTGTGAATTCCTGTAGAAGCTTTTCATATTGAAGCCTCTGATCTGTTAGTATTAAAAGTCGAAAACTTAAAATATCTGATTTTGTGTAAATGAATATGACAAATATTTACCATGTATTGTTTGTTCTTCTTCCTAAAATTCCTTTTCTTGTTTTTGATCTTTAGTTACTAGTGTATTAATGTGGAGCACTTGACAGTTTCTAAGTTTTTTGAGTTTTAATTTATCTTGCTGTACATCAGGGCGTCCGGAATTGCTACACATGTGGTTCTCCTGATCACCTCATGAGAGACTGTCCTATGTCCCACCCAAATCCCATGTTTCAGCCAGGTACTACCAATTAGCGTATATCTCAATTTATATGTGAATTATTGAGAACAAAAGCGAGTGAATTGAGGCTGGGATCTTCAAATCCACCAGGTCTAACACAATTTCATTTATAAAATTTAAATATTTTGTTTATGGGTGATCTGATAATTCATTCTGAAATGGCCAGTATATTCATTCTTAAGTTTCTCTAGTAACAGTTATACAGACATACAATCACTTATTGTCATACATGCATTACACGTGCACTCGCCACTGCTGTGCAGATTTCGCACAACACAAACCACACACATTCATTCACACTGCACTATACCCATTTGACGTGCGCCTACAATATGTACATTTCATCCGAAAAAAACACGTTTAATGCCTATTATGCTCACAATCAAACACACACAACAACACACACACACACACGCCGAACATGTGCAGTAATATATTCAAGTTCTGATATTTGTTAGTCACAATTGATTAAATTTTGAACTTTCTATGAGCTTGAGATCTTCACAAATTCACATTATGTTCCAAGATACTTATAATGGCTCTTCCGAAATCCATTCCAAATCCCTCTACCCAGAGATACCTTAGTTAACTGTCTGTCATCTTGAAATTTGCAAATGCTTATTAAGTTATAAATTGTTTCAGGAAATGGAGCGTATCATGGGGGTATGCCAGGCTATGTGCAGCCACCTTACTGGAATAGCTCCTCAATGCCGCCTTTCAGCCCATATGCAAACATGTATGGGAACCCTGGAATGATGCATTTCAACACATCCATGGTTCCTGTTTCACCATTTGCTGCACCTCCCTACTTTCCTTCAATGAGCGCCAGCATGGCCGGTCCTGGGTATTCTATAATAAAATTTTCACTTTTATTTTAGTTTACTTCTACCGAAAGTATTACATGCATATTTTGACTCTCACATGCAACATGTAGTGCCAACATGAGAATGGGCAATATGGGGCCTCCTCCACATTCAGATCATTTTGGGCTGCAACCTTGCGAGAACAAGAGGAAGAGCCCAAATGAAGAGCTCGAACAGTAATTTTAACCTTCAAAACATCTATTCATATATTATTAGTTATTTTATTAGCTCAAGTTTAGTTCTTTTATGGGCGAAATTTAAATATTGTGCTATCACTGGCTCTTACTGTTTTTATTCAATGGATCTCTTGGACAAAATAACCATCCAATAATTAATCATTATTGCAAATTCTCCACGACTTGCACCATTCATGCACTTACATAACTGCCAAACATATTATTTTATATTACGTCAATTTCAACCATTATGTTATCAGATGTGGAATATAGAGTCGCACGTTAGTCTTTTTTATCTTAACACGGGTACACTGCATCAGGGGAACTATTTCTGAGATGGAGGATGAGTCCCCAGAACACTACCGGCATGTAAACCCAGAAAGATCACATGATCACGGGCCTCGCAAAGAGGACAAGTTTTCACATGAGAAGGTTTCCCGCCCATCCAACTCCACTAGAGACAAGGGGCCTTCCCACAGGGAGAGATCGAATTCGACCAAGGAAGAAGCTTCTAGAAGCTCCGAGGGCAGGCACAGGCACCATCATAACAGGGAGTCTAGGAGACACCACGAGAGAAAGGGGCACTGTGGGAGTGAATCGAGCCACAGTCATCACTCGGCACAGAAAAATGCCAAAAGGGGCTCCCATCATAGCCCATCCTCTGTTAGGAGGAGGGAATACAGAGATCTGGACGTGGGCCGTGATTACTCGAGGCATTCCGGGAAGCACTCGAGGGAGGAAAGTCGTGAGGACAGGTGGCAAACGGGTAATGGTCTGTACGGGGATGAGTATCGTCACCATAAGCGAAGAGCACATTGAGACTGTGATTCTGCTTATCCTTATAATAGGTATTATGTATCAACTTGTACTTGTAGATGAAAAAAAAATATGGTTGATTTAAAGTCTTTCTTATATGCTATATACTAAAAGGTTGATACAAGTCATTTTTAGTACATTTAGGTTGGAGGGATATCTAACATAGAATTTGCAGACATCTAGTTTAGATCTGTCTCTTTTCCGTTATTGGCCTCTGGTTATATATATATGTGCGTGTGTGTGTGTGTGTGTACATATGAACATATTATGCGACTAACATTTTCCCTTGTTCAGCTTGAGGTTCAGATGCTAGCAAAAGTTATTGCCAGTGGCTCTGGCAATTGAAAATGTTGTTTGGAAGTATTTGTTTCTCACACGTTCAGTATTTGCGCATGCGCCATTTTAGCGGTAAGGAATATATGTCAATTACCAAGGGGTGACATTTTGCAGATAAGGTATGTATTTCTTGAACCAGGGGCAATGTGTAGCTGCACGCCCTCTTCTTTCTCTGGTGCCTCCTCTTCCTCCGTTATTGTTTCCTTTTCAATATTTTTTGGAAGAATAGTGTTCTTGCTGCCGAATTCTAAATTAGGCTGGGAGAAAGAAAGATAGAAAAAAAAGGAACTCAGCTGCCATTGTTTATATGTTTTTTTTATCGTTTTTTTTCCGTTAGTTAATATTTATTTCATTAACAACAAATGATTTTTTTTCTTTTCTACAAAAAATACTATTTGTTTCATATTTACTTCTCTCCATATCCCACTAACACAGTTAAAAAAAATAAAAATGTAATCATTATTATATATTTTTTTTATAAAATACTATTAATCTATTTACATATTTTTAATTACCAATCTAATCGATTTTTAATTATTGTTTTAATATTAAATCAACTTTAATCATTACACTTTTATCTCATATTTCTAGGAATCAGGATTTTTTTTTTTTTGTTGGAAAAAGAATG